GCCCACATAAAATTTAGTGGGAAAATACAGAGTTGGTAGCATCTTCTGCAAACAGTCACTGTTGGGTTGGAGGAGACTGTTGAGAAAGGGAGTAATGACAGAAAGCCAAGAGGCAAAGGTCACGTAGAGCCCTGTGTACCTACAGACATGGATAGCTATGTGATTGTCTCCATACAAGGACGTGATGTTCCTCTCCTTGAGGAAGCCATGCAGGGCAGTGCTTTTAACACCTCATTCAGTGTACCAATGTGCTTTTCTGATGATTGTTTAACCTGGAGAGATTTCCTTCTATAGTTTCACCAAGGATTACAGTAAATGCTCACTTTAGGTAAAGTCACAACCTAATCAAACAAATTCAGCCTAAATCCCTGCTGGGCCAGTAATGATTTGTCTGTCAAATACCTCTAAGCGTTTTTGATTTCTATAGCAACAGCTAATTGGATATGCAACTGTCAGTTTAAATGCTTTAAATGAGGCTGATGGGATTAGTAATTGAATGCTTGGATTAATGATTTACAGGGTAGCTGGCTTTGCTACCCTGTTTGGTGCTCACAGCTATGTTCATGATAGGTCCCTGCCCCTGTCAGGTGGGTGGAGTACTGAGCTGTATCTGCAATAGTGTTATGTTATTAAGAAATACAGTTGTGATAGAGGTTGGATGTAATCAGTACATCCCTGTTTGTATGTACAACTGATTTTAATACTGCAGGCAGCAAATGATTATGATAAAAACATCAAAAGCAAAACACCTGAAAATAGCCAGCTTGTCTTCACGGTTAGGACTTGGAAGCGGAAGTCTCAGTCATTCTCCAATTAAATGGTTACCATTGTCTTTTAAGGTTTGAGTCAGAAAGCAAACCTTGATGCTGTGGATGGTGAAGTTATGTCCAAGACTGACTAAGGGATTTCTAGAAGAGGTGGTAGGACGGCAAAGGAAATGGAAGAGATGAAGTCTCTGCACTTCCAAAGCAGCTGCCCTTGGAGGAAGAGACCAGACTGCAAAGCCTACTCAGGGAGAGGAACCTCTTTGGTGATACTTGAATCACTCACCTTTGTGGGCACTGGGGAGAAGCATGGAAGTTTTAAGATCTCACCTTTTAGAACACATTTCAGTGTTTTAAACAGACAGAATTATGGTACGTTCCTTGGGGTTGCCCAGGAACATCACTGAAAATAAGATGGGTTTCAGGGCCAGCTAAACCATACCAGGAATTTCTTCATTCTCAAAGCAACCTAGGATCAGGAAACTTAACCATTCACTTGCCCTTTAAGTTCCAAATGCTGGAATGCCCCTGTTGTTGTAAGAAGGGATCTCACTGTTTGTGTCCAGCTGAGCTCTGCAGTACTTGAGGAGGAAGGCTGTGAAAAAAACTGTGGCACTGAGATGTTTACATAAATTGTAGAGTGGAGTGATGGATTTGTCTTTTTGCCTTATATGCAGGCCTCCAAAACTATCCTTAATGACAGAGAGGCCCTTATACACCATCCATTGAATCTTTGGTTCTTGTTAATTAAGTTCCCTTCAGAATTAAAATTCTGAAAAAAAAAAAAATAAAAATCAAACCACCAAACTAAAACCCAGTGCATATTTAGAGTCTATGTTGAACACAGTTTAATAATACTTACTTCAGTATATTAAATTAGAGCCTGTTTCTGTTCTTATAAAGCTTCTATCTTGGGAAACGTTATGTGAAGCAGCTAACAATATTTATGTTATAATTACCTGTATTTATGGTATGGTTATAAACAATTATAAAGTAAATTGTTATAATTATTTAGACATAATTACAAAATAATTATTGTAATAATAATTTTGCAGTTATTTGTATTTATTATATATCATTCTACATATTAATTTACCACAAGAAAAACCCAGGAAACTCAAAGTTCTGCTCTGCATATTTCAGCTTGTAAAATATGCTGAGTTCTTCTGAGATGTGGGAATGGCTTTAAGACCTTGCCTCATTATTTGAAGATTTAAGCTTAGGTTTTCAGGCCGAGCTGCAGCTGCATGCAGTTTGGTATTCAGAAATCATTGTATTCATCAGCTTCTCTCTCCCTCATGATCTGCTCCTGTATATGAATTTTATTTTGTTCAGGAAATATTTTTTTATCTCCTTCTTTCCTCTAATTAGTTCTTATTAAGCCAAACTCATCCTTGCCTAGCCTCAACTAGACTATCTTTTTCTTCCTTTTGTTCCTAATGCAGAGGCATTAATCTCAGTCTAGACCCTTCCAGCACTTATTGTTCACATTCATTTTTTTGTTATGCCTGTTCAGTACACAAAACTGATAAAATACTTGAACCTGCTTTGGCAAGGGAGGTTGGACTAGATGATCTCCAGAGATCCCTTCCAACCCCTGCCATTCTCTGATTCTGTAGCTTGATCATACTGGAATATTGGTTGCCCTGTAAAAAAGCCAAGCCAATGATAAAAGTCAGGGAAAGGAAATGAAGAAACTGTTTGTTGGTCTCAGGATGGCATTTTTTCCTTCAGAATACTCTTGCAGTAAATTTTCTTTCCACACATGAGACTTTCCCCCTATTCTGCTTTTATTTATATAAAGCAATACAGCTGTTTCAATAACCTTCTGTTGAAGTGACAGTCCTAGGAATGTATTGTAAGATGAAAGTTAGGGGGCTCTTTCAGAACCTGGACCAAGAGTGAGATGCCCTTTCTCATCTCCAAGCCCAGTAGATCCCATCTTCAACCTTAGTTTTGATTTGTGATTTAATCAAGTGGACTTTGGGAAACATTGCTGGATTCACTGGCACATTTTGAGCTGCTTTCATCTGATATGTTCGTTACTGAGAATGTTAGAACACTTCAGGGTTAGAGAGCCCCTGAGTGATGGCATAACTGAAAGTCATAAGGAATTTCACATCAGCAGAAGAAATCAGGTCTTACTCTGAATTCACATTTTCAATTATAATTATTAAAGCAAGGAAGTGTCTGACTGGAGAGGCTTTCAATTATAAAGGAAGGAATGAGGACTACTCAGCTTTCCTGAAGTCACATCCCCCTTCCATCGCCAGGGCTATCTGCCTTGGAAGGGACATACTCCTTTGTTTTCCTTGCCCCCACTCCTGTTTTAGGTTGCATGCATGTATCCCAGTTTTAGATGTTAGGTCCCATCAAGTCCTTTTTTATTACTATATAAATTGATATAAATGGGAAGGTTTAGTAGATCAAAACACTTCATTCTGAAAGGTATATACTAAGTCTTTAGAGCTTTGGGAGTTTTATTCCTCATAAAATCACCAATTTTTTGTGAACTGCAATGGATGGGTGGTAGAACATTTGCATGAAGTACAGCAATGCTTGTTTTGGTTAGAAGGCTGTCAAAGGGCTCTCTCACTAAGGTAGAGGTAAGTTTAGGGAAAAGCAAACAAGTGTTGAAGTTAAGGGTTAAGCATACAACTGCACAGTCACATTTTTGAAGCAAACCTGTTGCTGATGCCTGCATCCCGTGATGGCTTTGTGCTGCTGAGCAGGCTCAGTGTGTGCAGCCCAAGGTCCTTGTGGATGAAACCACTCAGATGGTGTTCTCTAGGAGCCTGACTGATGTCCTCCAGCCACTAGTTGGCAGGTGCTACAGGGGAAAGCATGGGAAGAAGACTTTTCCTGCAGCTGGTGGCATCCCTAGAAAGGTGATAGGGAACACAGCTAAATCCTGTAAAGGCCATGGAACTTTTATGGGCTTCTGTATTTTCTGCCTTTTAAAATTCGGTATCATCAATTCTGTGTCAGCAG